TATATATATATATATATATACGATACATAATAAACTACATGAACATTACTATTACATCTAATTATATTATAGTACTCGCCTATAAAAAATATACTAATATTCAAATATTAAATTTATAAGAATTTTTAGTGGTATGTAAAAAATTTATGTTCAATAACTATAGAAAAAGTAGAGATGTATGATGGCATCATGCAGTGGATGAGTCTGCTCCAGTTCTTGATTCATGTAGGTTGACAGATTGGCCATGGAGGGCATGCAAGAACGCAGCACCTATAAAAGCCCTATCTCCCGCAGGGCACCTTCCACAGCTTCATCCTTCCACAAAAAAACAAATATTCTAACTAATCTTTAGTGTATTTCTACATGTGTCCTTAGTAATGGAATAATGATCTTGAGCTAAATTTTATTACTAAATTTATCTTACAAAATATACAATGTATAAAATATATTACAAAATATACTAAAAATCAAAAAAATAAAATTAAAATCTTTTTTATATACAATACTTTATTATATTATTTTTTAATTAATAATTCAAATGCCTCTCAAATGCCACAAAATTATAATAAATAGTATTGATAGACTAAACATGAATTTTAATATTATTTACTATAATTTTTATACTTTTTATTTTCATTATAGTTTATCTTTCTATTTAAATTGATAATATAAAATCAACTTGGTAATAAACCAGTCTCTTTCTAGTACAATATGAAATATTTTCATTACACACTAATTTCTTAAAAATATTAAATTACTATTATATTTTATGATATTATATAGAAATTTTAATTAATTTGAATATAATCTTTTTCTAATCAACATTGAAAAACTTTATGACACAATTGATAAAGCTAATAAATAAAGAACATACTATTTTTTATTATAAAAATTTCTGTTAATACATCACAAAATATAATATTTATACTTTGTGTAAAGATTACAATTATATTTTAAATTTAGAAAAACATTTGTACATAATAATATTATATAAATATAATTTATATCATCTTTTATACAATAAAATAAAATCACAATATAATTCAAAATCTTGTGCAAAAATGTCAATTATTAATACTAATCAATTTATTCATATATATATATAATATTCAAATAATATATAGCTATGAATTACCTTATATATGAATGCTATAAAAAAGATCTATAAAAATAAACGTACAAGCATACTTCCGCATTGTAGGAACTTATAATGAATACCATTCATGGTATCATATAGATCACAAACAATATCATTACATAAAATCATTAATATGATTGACCACGCTTTAATTTATTACAATTTAAAAATATATACATACATTTCAATAACTACTTATGAACAACAGCATTTCCATAGCATTATATTCTTTATAATTATTTCTATGAAAAATAAACAATTAAATTACAATATAACTTTTACAATATAATAAAATAAAAAAAATCGAAATTAATA